TAAACAGCCTACAGTATTTTTACAGTCTTTATTTTACAGTTAAAATAAATGTTTATCAAATAAAGTCTAATGTTACAACTAATTGGGGATCACTTTAAAGGAATCCATGTCACCCACCGCCTTTCATGCCAGAGTTTTAAACTGAAATCTCAAAATTTCAGAACCTGAAAAATGTCAGAGCGACAGAGCGTGTTTTAATAAAGTGAAAACCTTATTGAGAGGAATCCAGTCATTAACTTATAGAGAATGTTTTTGCCTAGGTGATGCTCGAGGGGTGAGACAGGCCATAGTGTCATCAGCATATGAGGGCCGTTCATTGCTGCTTGCAGCTTTAATTATTAACATCAGAATCATAGGAGTTGATTTTTTAAAAATGTCATTAAAATGATTGAAGATAATTGTTGAAAACACAACTTAATACTAAATCTTTCGCTTGTATTTAATGTTTCTTTGCCGTCTTTCAGAGATATTTTTTACGAGCTGCTGCGAGAATGGGAGGACCTTCACAAAGAACCAGGGTGGAGCTTTGATGCTGTGCTTGGAGGTAGAATCAGGCAAGTGCCAATAGTTCAAAAAGCTGCTCATTAAATAAGCACCAGAAAACTATTTCTGACTAATAAAAATATATATATGTTTGTTCCTTTTTCAGGGGAATAATGAATCAGCTGACTTTGGCAGGAATTCATTCACATTTTGCCCGTTTGTTCTTGAAGCAGCTTGTTCAGGTAGAGTTACACCTCATCAACTCTTTACCAGGTCTTTTATTAAACACAATAAACAGAAAATAAAGAGCTAGTGTTCCATGTCAAAACTTGAAAATAATTTTATGTTCTCTCATTCAGTCAGTTATCACACAGAGTAAATACTGTCGACTACTTTCACATCAAATTTGAACTTATCTATCAAACTGACTGAGTCAATGTGGGAAAATAAAAACTGAATAATGTCAGATAAGTTCTTGAATTGACTTCGAAAGTTAATTCTGTAAACATTATTTTCTGCTTTTCATTAAAATCTATCCAAAGGTTTTTGAGATATTTTGCTAAAAGACAAACAATGTTGACTCAAAAAGGCAGAGTGTTAAGAAAAGATCATGAGTTGTCGCTTGAAGTGTATGCTGGGGATGACCCCCAGTTACTATCACACACAGTTTTAGTCCATTATGTACAAAAGTGATCGACTTGTTTCCATTTTTGTGATTTCTGAGGTCAGTTAGTTGTGGTGGCTGTTGCATAACAGACAAATTAAACAAGCATAACCATCTAACCCATAGAGGTTATAAAGAATAGACTCCCCATGGACCGCTGCTGTTGATGAGCCGTGGGGGCGCCATCTCGGACTAGTCCCCCGCTCCTCTCAGTGTAATCTGATTGGCAGGCACAACAAAGGATCAGTGCATTTAATCAGTCATAACTCGCTGAAAACTAAACTGAATTTTACGCTTTTTTTCCCCTGCAAACCTTATATATACAGCGATCATAGCTACATGTATAAGGACACATGGTTAACAGTAAAACAATATTCTGATGTGATGTATGATGAGTATTTTGTAAAACACACAGCCACTCACACATTTATAAATGTTTTTATTTATTAATGTCTATCTATATGTATACATAGAATAATAAAAATATATTTTAAAGAATCATAAATGAAGTTGAAATAATGATTTTGCAATGAAAGAAATATAATAATAAATAATGATAGTATGCGGATGAGACATCAGAAGTAACATCAGTTTCAGTTTCAATTCTTTATTCATTTCATTAAAACAAAACAAACAATTTTATATACAATATACAAT